ATCATTCTCTCGTGCGCTTGCCAATGAATAAAAAAAAAAGAAAAGGAACAAAATATATTTCCCCCCCTTTTTTCGTATACAGTTAAAAGATTACCAGTAGTGGGTGGTTTCCCCCCCCCCCCACTTTTGCATTTGGCTCCCCTTCTACACATCGTTGGTGTTGACAACTTTGTGAAATCATGTCGGCCGCCTTGCGCGATAATTTAGCACCGCGATTGTGCAGCTGTGTTGTGTCTCTCTTCGTTGCCGCTTCGTTAGCGCTTCGTTGCTGTCGCGTTGCTTTTGTATTTTCCTTTTTTCCTACCCATTTTTAAAGGAACTGTGCGGCACGGTGTTAGTTGCGCCCCTCCCTGTGGGAAGCCAAACGTGTGACCGTCGTGCTAACCATTTTAAGTCAAATTTTGTTGTCGAGCTGATCACAAGTGAGTACCCCACTGAGGTAGGAGAAATGCACACGTGTGTTTGTACCTACCGGATAAGGGAATATACAAAGGACGTTGCCTCATCGTGGTAGTTTTTAAAAGATCACTCGTAGGGATGCATTATGGCCTCATAATAATATATGATAACCGCGTACACTAAACACACGATGGGTTGCCTTGCCCGGTTAGAGCTCACCTGCATGATGCTGCTCCGTGTGGGTTTTTTTTTTGGTTGTTTTTTTTTTTTTTCTCCCCTCATTTTGCCTGACCTGTCCGCCGCCGTTTAACTAAAATGGACAAGAAGCAAAAAAACATCTTAACGCAACATTCTTTCGCCACATTAAAATTTGATGTCTTTCCCACGGCCGTCCTCCTGGCGCGCGAAGTCTTATATGTTATTTGCACGTCACCATCACATGGGTGTCAACTTTTTTTTTTTTTTTTTTTTTTTTTTTTTTTTTTTTTTTTTTGTCCATTGTTAAAAAAGGCCATTATTATTGGCCAACCCCCCCCCCCCCCCCCCCCCCCCCCCCCCCCCACAAGCGTCACCGTTAAATGGTGCTCATCATACCATTGTGTGTGATACCGTAGTGATGATTTAAGGGGCCCGTTTTGTGTGTGTGTGCAGGAATGTAGCAGTGTAAGTTGTCGCACCATTTGGGTGTCGCCCGTTGTAACAAGTGTGCTTCCTCTCTCCTCCTGTGGTGACCGCCGTGTGCAGTCCACAATGGACCTCCTCAAGATGTACAAGCAAAATGAAATTTTACAGGACTACATAAATATATATTTTGATGACGACAAGGAACCTACTGCCCAAGGTAACATCAAGTATAAAATATTAGACGTGATAGGACATGGAGTATACGGGGTGGTTTATAAAGCCTACTGTCTGAACAGCATGTGTGTGGTGGCCTTAAAACAAACCTACCAAAAGCATGCACGCATTTTTAAAGAGGTAGAGATTATGAAGAAACTGAGACATCCTAACATTGTACAATTGAAGCATGCATTTTATACGAATACTTCAAATGGAGGTATTTATGTTCATATGATTATGGAATATGGAAATACCGATTTGGCTACTTCCCTTTATTATATTAGTATACAAAATTCACCTGACCATGTTAATACTTTTTATGAACCGCGTGCACACCAAGAGGGGTATGCACAAAATGGTTATGGCTCTATGTTTGAGGAGGACTATTTGAACGAGGGGAACTTTTCATGTGGGACGGACAATCCGGAAGGATCATTGCTTGGCAACTCCAATCGGTTGACCACATCCCAAGTGCATTGTCCTAAGGGAGCAAGCGGCATGATCAAAAATGCTGTCAGTAGCTTCAATATAAATGCTCTACAAGAGAGCATCAGCCATATTTGCCCTTGTCACAATATAAGTGAATACATTAAAAAAAGTTTCCTTAATGAGAATCAAATTAAAATTTACCTCTATCAGTTGATTCGGGCCACCCTGTACCTGCACACGTTATGTATAACACACCGAGACATTAAGCCACAAAACGTTCTTATCTTTGTGAACAAGCAGAGTAGCAACGGGGCAGCGGGGGGGTTAAAGAATGGCGAGAAGAAAAAGTGTCTCGTGTGCATTCAAAATTCTTTTAAGGTTAAGTATATAATGAATAGGCGGCGTAGGGGGGAGGCATCTGACGCGGCGCTGGACCAAGCTGCTCCGGAGGGGGACCTCTCCCCCAATGGCATAACTCACGCACACAGTGGGTGCGATAAAAGCGAATCACCTAGTAGGGAGCCGTCCTGTGGTGCTAGCCCCACTTGTGATAAGAGGATACAGGAGGACGATTCGCAAAATGAGCCACGACCTTCCGAGGAGGGCACCGTTGGGCAGGAAGCCCATTCGGGTGACAGTCACCATTGGATGCAGACCACCCCATGCGAGACTTCCAAAGGGGGTGCGCAAAGGTGTAGCAGCAGGAGAAGCACTCCGTTCTCCCACAACTGTGACATGAACAATTTGAGCACAGACGACATGCAGTTAAACAAATCGGCGAGCATGACCATGACCCAGTCGTTTAAGGACACGTACGAAACATGCCAGGCCAGTTCGAAGGAAAATACCTCCGCAATCCCCTCTAAGGAGGGAGATGATATATTGCCCCATTTAGAAGTCAATTCAGCACACGAGGAAGAGGAGATCAGCTTGAACAGAATATACATGAACTCCATCACGTATAAGTATATTAAGTTGTGCGACTTTAATACCTCCATTAAGTTGAAAGAGAATTACAAATACTTCAGCTATGTGTGCTCAAGGTATTACAGAGCCCCCGAGCTGCTCTTTGGGTCGAATTATTATAGCCAAGCCATTGACACCTGGTCCATAGGTAAGCCTCGCTAGAGTGAGCGGCACTGCGTTGCGTGCACAGCACGCGGTGAGGGGCGGTTGCGGGACGCTTCTCCACTGTTCCTATGTTCACATTTGATGTGCCTCATTAAGTACCGCTGCCTACTGTTACTCTACACCGTCGTGTCAACACCTCCACCTCTTTACCCCCCCCCCCCCTTTTGAAGGCTGTGTGATGGGCGAACTGATCCTTGGGAAGCCGCTCTTCCTTGGCAATTGTGCATCTGACCAGCTGGTTGAAATAATAAAAATACTAGGGACGCCCAACGATGAAGATTTCCTCTCATTTAAAAGTGGCCACAAGAATATAAAGCTACCTCAAGTCAAACCAATAACGTTAAAGAAGCTCATAAAAAATCACAGCTCGCAGGAGAGCATAGACTTGCTCGGTAAGCTGCTTCAATTCAACCCGCAGAAGAGAATTAAATTGTGTAACGCACTTTTGCACAAGTACTTTGACGATATACGAAATTTGAATGCCTTCAAGGATGATCGTAGTGGGGGTAGTACTTTTCATTTGCCTTACATAACTAACTGTTTTAATTTCACCAAGGAGGAACTCCTACATTTCACCGTCGAGGAGCGAAAAATACTCATACCGTTGGAAGTGCGGCGTAGCAAATTGGACGAGGTCATGCAGTACATAGACATGCCGCTTGAGCACTTTAATCAGATGTACCCGAATAAGGTGCACTTGGCCTGTTGAAAAGAGGCATCGGTGCGTAAAGCATAACACGCGCGCGCGCGCATAGAGAGAGGGAGAGGCGAGTCGCTGTGCGCGTCTTCCATTCCCCCCACGACACCACTCGATAAGCCGCGTGAGAATGCCCGTGCAATCCTTTTTAAAGACTCCACGTGGTGTGTAGCCTTCCCACCGCTCCCCCTCTTTCTACGATGGATGCCCTCATCTGAGTATGTACCACCTTTCCCCCCTCATTGTGTAGCTACTTTCATATGTGGCTCACATTTTGCCTCTCCAGTTTTGTGTTTTTCGCCGCATAAATTTTGTGCAGCAGCGCCCTGTCCATGTAGGTGAATAAGCGAGCGTTTCTTCCCTTTTTTTTTTTTTTTTTTTTTTTTGTAAGCCAGATTTGCCTGTCTGTGCAGGTACGTACGTAAGCGCGTAGGTGTATGCACGCACCCACGTACACGTGTGTGAATTCTTGTTTTTTTTTTTTTTTTTTTTTTTTTTTTTTTGTTCTTTTGCGTAAGTGCTGCTCCACACCCGCAGCCAATATAGTACATCCGAAGTTTTTATTTAACACCTATTTGTGCGACCCGTAGAAGCAACTTATTTGATAGTTTGTATTAATACACACTCAGGCAGTGTTGGTTAGACGTGAGGACGTGGGCCACGCATCGCTAGTGGTGCGCTGTTAGGCCTTTCACAGGGGTCCCTTTTGTAATTCAAACAGTTGGCCAAAAACACGGGGCGTCTGCTATCCCATTCAGGGGAGAAGACTCGTGTGGTGTAGGGGCACTTCAATAGCGTACCCTCCACCGATGTAGGTGTGTACGTATTGGCCCCATGCATTGGAACGTTCATGTAGGTTTTGTCCATTACAACGGAGGTTCGGTTTGGCGACGCCAGAATGGGACATTTCGCACGGGGGGCAAATGCCAATGAGACTAACGAAATGGATGATGAGGCGAATCGGGCCCCTCCCCAAATGCAACAACAATTTTTATGGGCGCAGAGCATACAGTCTGCCGCGGGGGGAGCGCCGTGCGCCGGACAGCAGCCTTCATTTCTCCTCCCCACGAGTGGCCGACAAATATTTTTTTTAATTCCTCAAATGGGGCTGTGCCCATTGGGGCCGTTTCACATTTTATTTTATTTTACTTTATTTATTTTTTTTTAATTTTATTTTTTTTTTTTTTTTTCGTCCCTTTGCATGTGGGTAAAATTTGCTTGGGCACTCATTTGACGTGAACATGGCGCCACGCCCTGCGCCACATTATTTTTGCGGCCCACAGAGAGCGGGAGAAGTTGCAACAGCGCGGTTGTTGGACGTTTGAACAAGTAAACATTCGCGTTACGCAGGACAGTCGCCGCCCCGTCGATTCTCTCTCTCATAGCGAGTCTGCGTTAACCGCGTGGGTGAGGAACATCCTCTTCCAGCTCACCCCTACCTGCAAGGACAACACGTGAGCATAATTCATGCACGTGTAGCTCTCCACAGAGGAATCCCCCAAAATGCGTAAAAAGGGCAGCGGCTTCATTGGAGGAAAGCTAAATTTAAAAATTAAAAAAAAAAAAAAATCTGTCAAGCAGGAAGTACGTCACGAAGATGCCAACCATGTGGATGACACCGTTGAAAAAAACTTCGAACGAGTGAAGGGTGAGCGAATCCCATTGGACCATGATGGCAAGGTGGACACATCTGAACAAGTTTTAAAAGGAACAGGACGAGTAACAACAGAGAAGAATACAGTCCATGGAGTGAGAACAGAATTTATGAATGAAATAAAAGAAGGCTATGATCTCATTTTAGAAAACCCATCAACTCTGCGCAACGAACGAAGGACTGTGACGTCTGTGTTAAGCAATAAGACCTTAGTTGTGCATGAGGACTTTACATCCGACATAAGTACTACTTGTACCTTTTACATTGTGCCTGGTGGGAAGTCCAGTGGAAAATCGGGGGCACATATCGGTGTGGAGTACGCTAAAGTTTTTGAGCAGGGGCCCAAGCAGGATCAGGTCGAGGTGCGAGAAAAGACGGGCCTCTGGTCATACAAGGTTGTGAAGAAAAAGGTCAGTGGGCGCCTAACCAACGAGGACAAGCTCGACATGCGTGTGAAGAGCGGTCGGGATAAATTCTGCTGGTAGTCGCTACGTGTGAATGGCTGCATAAACGGGGCATGCTTGCGTGCCGTCCCGTTTGCGCCCCCACGCGAATGGAAAAAAAAGACAAAAAAAAAAAAAAATACAGTAACGTAACGGGTGAACAGAACCCGAAAAAAGGGAGTAAGCACTCCTCAAGAATGTCAAACTTTGAGGCCCACCAAATGGGCCATAAAAAAAAGCAGGTGTCTCTCGCCCCCCTCCTCTTCGACGCAAGAGCGTCGCACAAGTTTCAAACCACCACGCGCGGGGTGACTTATCCGTTCCGCCGTTTACGTGTTATGGCACTCCTCTGTTTATGCGACCCCCGTGGGGGCCTGCACGAGTTGGAAGTTTTGCGACGCGTATTTGAGGAGCCAGTCCCCCTCAACCTTCGTGACTGTGCGCGCGTACAGCCTCTTTGTCTGCACCACGTCCGAATAAAAAATGAAGGACGCCTTGATGTGTGAACTAAAGAGAGTAGACGACGGGTGAATATATAACTTGCTTTTCGTTACAACATTTATGAACTCGTTTGCATTGGAGGTCGATCTGGCCACATTAAAAAAACAGGACTTGCAAAGGCAAATTAAGACTTGGTCCCATTTATGCATATGCAATTTTGGCGACACTGTGATCCCCATTTTGCTTTTCATTATTTGTAAAATTTGTTCCTTTATTTTTTGTACTTGCTGTAGGGTTTCATTGTTGAGGGCGTATAGGTTGCAAAAATCCTTTCGCTCGTTGGGCGTGGCCTCTTCTTGCCAGAGGTAGAAGATGTGCAGGAGGGTTAGGTGGTCTCCATCCGGGTGCATCAGCTTCCTGCGCGCGATGTTAATGAGTTTGTTCCTGTCGCTCATGGGCGGGTCCCGCTCGGTGCCTGGGTCCGAGGCGTTGTCCGCATTGTCCGCGTTAGCGGCGTTATGCGCGTTAGAAGTATTCGCCGTGTTAGCCGTGTTAGCCGTGTTGACCGCGTTAGGCGTGTCGTCGTTCACCATTTTGAGGTCCTCATAAAAATTGTAATTCAAAAAAATGCTCTCGCAGTTTAGGAACGCCACGATGGTAGCGACTTCGTCCATGCAATGGAACTCCACGGAACACAACATCATGTTCGCATATATCGGGTTCAGTGGCAACATGCACATCCTTTTGCCAACCTCCGTGAGGTTATTGTCCACATCTATTGCGTTGATTCGGAAGAGGACCTTGGCGGAGTGTAAGAGCAGCTCCTTCTTGGGGTTCTCCGGGAAATTAAACTGCAGCGGGTTCGGGATGTTCATCGCCTGTAGGGGAGGTCACGACGGGTGTAAAGTAGTGCACAGCATGAGTATGGAAGCGGAAGGGATGGGTATGGAAGCGGAAGGGATGGGTATGGTAGCGGAAGGGATGGGTATGGTAGCGGAAGGCATGGGTATGGTAGCGGAAGGCATGGGTATGGTAGCGGACGGGGACATGGACAAACCGCCCCTCCCCTCTACACTACCCCCTTCTGCACACGTAGCAGGTCCTCACCTTCAACTCCAAATATATTTGCGTCAAATCAGAGCGGAAAATCTCCGGAATTAAAAACGGGTTCATATTCTCGTACTCCTCCTTGGAGTAGACTCTGTAGACCTGTCCTGGTGCGTCCCTCCCAGCTCTGCCACTCCTTTGAATAGCGGCGTCCTTTGAGATTGGCGTCACCTTCAAAATGTTGCTGCCCTTTTTTGCGTCGAAGAATTTTATCTTCACACGCCCGCTGTCCACCACGTACTTTATGTTTGGAATCGTCACTGACGTCTCGGCGATATTTGTGCTGAGGATGACCTGACGGGGTGAAACAAAAAAAAAAAAAAAAAAGGCAATTATTAGCCGCATGTATATGTAATGGTTAGTGGCGTAGTGTGGGGGTTATATCATGCAGAACGTTTTTTTCTCGGGCGCATTTTTATATGGTGCCCTTTTTTTGCGTGTGTCATTATGGGGAGAACAGGCGCAATACGTAGCGGTGCGAATAAAGCGAAGAATGTGTACAGGGGTAAACGCGGGCATCCATTTTATGTGAAGGCGTCCACGGTTAATATGCTGGGAGCTATTTATTCCACACGACGACCTTGCCGATGGCCCTTTTCCTCCGCGTTATTGTTACCTTTCGTGTGTTGGGTGGCACGGGCTCGAAGACGACCCGCTGCTTCCTATTAGGGAGGGACGAGTACAGTTGCAGAATCTTCATGGCGTATATTTTGTCCGGTACCACCTCCATGTGGCCGAAGTGGAAACAAATGCCATCCTCAAGTGGACTGTTCCCGTTCAAGGCGACATTAATTTTGTCCAACACGTCCCCTGCTTCTTCCGCCTCCCGCTCCTGCCCCTTGTCCTCCTCAATCAGTTTCCGCAGTAGGGAGCCTTTGTAAATGATCTTCAACTTTTCTTTCAGCATTAAATTTACTGCTTCAATTTCTTCCTGTCCGGGAAGGAAGACCAGGACGTCTCCGATGGGGGGTGGTGCCGCAGTGGCTTCTTTTGTTGGTAGCTCCTTTGGGGGCCCCTCCCCCAGCTGATCATCCTTCTGCCCTCTTTGGCCGAAATGTATTTGCAGGACGGTACACACAACCGATATGAGATAGTCCTCTATCGGCTTGGTGGGGTAAAATATGGTAACAGGATGTAACTTGTGGGGGATGGAAATTATTGGTGGGTCGGAGAAGAAGTTTTTAAAAGTAGCCACGTCCAATGTTGCAGACATGAGAATGATTCTGAGTTTCTTCCTCTTCTCCATTAATGTTCGAACGTAACCCAAGAGGACATCTGTCCTAATGGACCGTTCGTGTACTTCATCTAATATTAAAAAAGTGTATTTTTTTAACAATGGGTCATTCATGATTTCTCTAATGAGGATCCCATCAGTTACAAATTTGATTCTGGTTTCATCTGATGTTACGTTTTTAAATCTAATGGCATAGCCGACGTAGCTTCCTATCTTTCCTCTGCTCATTTCTTTCGCCACTCTCTCCGCTACCGTGATGGTTGCTACTCGCCTGGGAAGCGAAATCAGCATCTTCAAAGGAGCTTTTTCGTTTGGCGGCCCAGCGGAGTAGCCATCCTTGCAAACGGCGTCACCACCATCCTCTTCCTCCTCCCCCCCCACATCATCATTAGTGGCGCCACTACCGTTCTTCCCCCTTTTGTCAAAAAAGTACCTGTTTATTATTTGGGGCACCTGGGTTGTCTTCCCGCACCCCGTCTCCCCCTTAATAATTATTAGCCTATTCCTCTTTATGCATTTTTTAATTTCCTTCTTGTGCTTCAATATGGGCAGGTCGATCATTTTGCTCTGCCATTAATAAGAGGTACGCGTTGGCGTAGAGGATAATGCAGTCGCCGTGATGATTTGTTCGACTTTCTTCACATGGGAAGAAGTTTTTTTAAAGTGGTATACTCACTTATAACGCGTGGGTTAGTCCCGTTTGTTGTTGGTTTCCATTAGTGGCGCCTCCGCTATCCTATTGTGCAAATTGGACTTGAACCCTAAACTGCTCTAGCGGATCGTCCTTACTCTCTGCCTTTACGCAGGAACATATCCCCCCTTTTTGGTTAAGAACAAAATGAAACGACTCTCATTCCCACTCTGTATTGCACAGAGAACTTATCCAAGCGTTCTTGTTAAAAAAAAAAAATAACACAGAGAGGAGGATATGAAAGGGAACAAGCATGGGCGGGCCCCCACATCTCATTTGTAAGAGAAGCTAACCACAGCGCACGCCATCATCAGGCGGCATCCCATCTGCAGATCGTGTACCTATTATACATATATATATGCATACAATATACATATGTATGTAGAAAATATTATGCACGTGTGGAGCGGTGGCGCGGTCGATTTATTCTTAACGTGGGGTAATGCAAATAAAAAAAGCAATGTTGTTTTGGAAGGGCGAATTCGACGGGGTTATTAATTTTTTTTTTTTTTTTTTTTTTTTTTTCATGACCATGTCGAACGGCACGTAACAGTCGAGCTGCACAAATCATCCTGTTAAACGTTCGAATTTTTCACCTGGAAGGAAGCACAAGTGGACTCTCATAGGAGCGCACAGGCACATAACATATATACATATGTATATATTTATATATGCATGTATTTATGTGTGGGGGCATATGGAACGTTGAACAATTGAGCTGTTGAATTCACCCGCGTGTGCGCAGTTAACCAAAGGCAACGTCACCTCAACCCCACTTGGGTCACTATAAACCAGTCAACATGGTTTTGTCGCCACAATGCACCACACAGTCATTGTCGCAGCATAAATGTTGTGAAGACAAAAAAAAAAAAAAGCGAAAATGGGGAAAAAAAGGGGGTGATGTTATTCACAGGGCGACTACCTGGGGGGGGGGAAGATGAGCGAATTACGCACACCATTTTGCTTTATCCTTATAAATACTTCTAACCCAATTAAGCGAACTATTAAATGGGAGGGGGGGGAGGTGCCGCATATCAGTGCCTACGTGGCAACCCTGTACGCATAACTAGCACACAAGTGTGTAACTTGCCCTGATGTGTTTTCCCAGCAGGGAATGACGCATGGTGAACAGTTTGTGGACAGCTGCAAATGTGCAAGAGGCAAAACGCTTCGCGATGCTGCTCAATGGAACTACCCAAGGATAAGTTCGCCTTGCGCGACCATGTAGAAAAATCGGTTCGTACAAAATGGGAACGCGCCATGTCGTAACTTGCCAAATTAAGAAAGCTCAAACGAACGACGACGGCATGGCGTGGTGGGCCTATCACAGTTAATACCTTGCCATTTCTCAACATGAACAAAAACAAAAAAAAAGGCACAGCTTGGCCATCGTCAGTTGCGCGTTAGGGGAAACATACGCAACCACAGTTGTGTCTGCACGTGTATGTGCACATATGAAAATGATTTTATGCGGGCGTAGCCGCGTAAAGGGGGCTAGCAGAATTCACAGCCCACCACGCGCAATAAGATAAACGTTTACGGTACGCACACACTTTTAATAAGCGTGAAATTTAGCTTTATTGAGTGAAGGAGTGGAATTGTATATTAATTGGAGGATTCTCTTTTATTGGGCAGTACAACGGTCCCGAAAATTGCTTTCCCGCCGCCAACTACGGGTAACCTTGTATTGAAAAATGCGTTGTCGCGGTTTTTTTTTTTTTTTTTTTTTGTTTTTTTTAGCTAACCAAATGTTAAAAGTGTTGAAAATTGCCTGAACATTCAGGTAAAAAATATAAATAATAATAAAAAATAATAGAACAATAAAATGATAAAAAAAAAAAAAAAATGTGTAATAGGAAATAAAGCGAAGGAGCCAAACCCAGCTGTTTGGGAACGGGACAGATGTGGCGCGATTTCGCCCATCCGAGTTCATCAGCAATGTACGCCGCCCATGAACACACAAATGATATATACGTATAGATATATTTATTTGATGAATAAAATCCCCCTGTACGCGCGAAACGGTCCGGTCACCTGAGCACACAAAATGTAGGTAGTTCAACGCTGCGCAACCAAAAGAAAAAAGTGTTCGCACAAAATTGCTCAGGGCGGCAATGGGTACGGGGCTAAGGAAAGCAAAATAGGTAAATTCAAACGCAGAGCGGTGCTCCCACCTTTTCTCCCATGTTTGTTCGTTTTGCCGTACTGATGAACAGGCGCAGTGTGCGCGTTGAACTGAAGTGAACTGACGGAGACGCAACGACAGGCGTGGCTCAGGGTGAACAATTTGGCCTAAAAAGAAATGCACCACTCAATTGCTCCAAAAAGTGCAGAACCAGTACCGGGAAAAACTCCCAAAAAGAAGGTAAAAAAAAAAAAAAAAAACAAGGTTACGACAAAAAGGTTGCCAAAAAAAGGGTTACCGAAACGGTTGCAAAAAGAGTTGCCCAAAATTAATCGAAAGGAACACCCCACAACTCAGCACAAGCGAACAAATCTAAAGCTGAACAACTTAGGCGCGAGAAGGCAAATGCAATAAGCGCGCTTAAAACAAGTTAGCGTTGCGCGGGTTAATTAAAAACGCCTCTTTTTTTTTTTTTTTTTTTTTTTTTAGCGTTAATCTTTTCATTTGGTACAATTTAAGTACTAATTTTTTTTGGCGTATATATGAAAACAGCTATGTACTTCTACAAAACTTCTATTCAGTACTCTTCCCCTTCCCCCCACCTCTGTAACTGCTCTGTTGCAAATGTATAAAAGTATACATAACATGTACGTTGTACACAATATGCGTATTTAAAAGCTATATACCCTTTATTGTAATAATTCACGCGTTTCATAGTTCGCTTCTTCAGGGCTAAAGTTGTTAAGCATATAATTATATATGCGTTGCGTGCCTATGCATATAAAACTTATACGTGTACATGGCAATGCATATATATATTGTAAAAACTGCGCCCTTACAATTCAGTACTGCCATCAAGTACGTGCCAAGCGTTAGATGAACAAGGTACTTTTAACATAATGTTAAGAAAAAAAATATTATGTACAATAAATAATTGTCATATGCGAATTGGGTTGACGATTTTTGCTTGATTCCTCTTTCGTGCTTAAAAACCAGCGTATACGTGTTGCATAGCACTAATGCGAAAGGCACGTAAAAGTAACCGTGCATAATAATATATATTTATTTGCCTTATATATATATGTACTTTTTTTTATATATAATCATCTTATTATATATTATTACGTGCGCGCCTGTACGTATATAAAAAAAACGCTGTGGCATCCAAGTATAAAATTTATATATATTTTCTTGCCTTGCCCTAATATGTTAGCTTGCTTCGCAAGTAATACAATAGCGTTTATATTGACTACCTTTAGCGCAGTAAAATATAATTAGCAGCACCGGTGGAGTTGTACCATTCGTGGTAGCGCATAGTATATAACCCTTGTTTTCTGGCTAAGTAATAATATACGCGCAAAGCACATACTTTTTTTTTTTTTTGCTTGCATATTGTTTATTATTGCTTTTCCTTACGCGCAGTGAGTAAGTTTTAACTGCATCGCTTTACTGCATTGTTCTTGCCGTTTATCAGTTCATCGTCCAATTTACGCGTTTTTAATTGGTCAAATATATATATAAAGCGCAAACAAAAAGTAGCAATAAAAAAAAAAAATAAAATAATTTTTATTTTTAAACAGAAACCCTGAACAAGTAAGAAAAAATCCTAACCATTATAAGTATACAAAAAAAAAAAAAGCAATTAGCTTTTTTTAAACTTGATATTATAATTTAGCGCAAAATGCATATTGCGTACGTATGTAATATAAAGTACAGCATAGCATAAAGTACTAAGCGCTTATTTTTATTTGCGTTTGTCAATATGCGTATGCGTACCATTTGGAGTAACAAAGCACGCGCAATATTGTTTTTCTCGTTTTATTGTTTGCCGTTTTATTGCTTTATCGTTACACTGCAGTAATAATTGCTACGCTGTGTCAAGCCATCGCACTAGTATTTTTTTTTTTTTTTTTTTT